CTCTTGGAAACCATCTCGTGGCCCCAGGATGTTGTCTCAAAGTTTGTTGTACCCAGGCATCTCTGTTCCCCAAACACTGGGGACGTACTTGAGGATATGAGCACCCACACATCCCAGGAGCAAGCCTGAGAGCCAGGTCCCCCTAAAACAAAGGATAAAAGTCCCACATGCCAGGACAGTGCTGGAGGGGGCTCAGCATCTTCCCAACCCCTGCTGCAGGGCCAGATGCCTCCCACCCAGGGACACCCCAGTGGCTGGAGCTGCCACCCCAGCGCGGTGCTTCCCCTCACTCCCATCCTCCCAACGTTCTGTGCCAGCATCTCCCGCCCTCAGATGGTAGGGAAACACCTGTGGGTGAAGGAGTCAGTCCCTATTGCTGGCTAATGAATTCAGTGAACTACAAAGGGAAATAGGTGCCGGGAAAAGCAAGAAAAACCCCAAAAGTTAATCCACGAGCTGTTTCCTCCCAGCGTCTGGATAAAAACGCGTCCTTTGGAGCTCTTTGGGACAGACGTCGGCAGGACGGATTGACCCGTGCCAACAGAGCAGGTAAAGTGCTGGTTTTATCCTCCCATCATGTGTCTGTATCTCCTGTAACGAGGTTTTGTAAGGGCTTTATTTATGAATGTCACTGTGAACACAACCCACATTTGAAGTGTCCCTGCTGTTCCATAGGGAAAGCGTTCTCCCTTGGGAACAGCCTTTGGGGTCTGCTGCTTTTGGTCACGCTTTCAGCCCTGCTGTTCCAGCTTAATTTACCCGTGCTTACTTTTTGTTGAGATTTGTCTATTCACCTGCAATTTTTGCTGTTTTTTGTTGTTTTTTTTCCCCCCCTATTTCTTTCTTTTGGAATCTTTTAGGAACTCTTCCTTCTCAGTTTTTCTCTCTTGTAACTGGCAAAGAAGAAATGTATAAGAGCTATCAATCAGTGTTGCTTTCAAACATACTTACATGCATGTGTACCACCAGTACTGTATAAAACGTGTGTTCCAGAAGTAGTTTAGCTGTTGGCATGTCCCTACAAACCTCCCTATCAGATGTATGTTCTCCCTGCAGTCTCATTTAATCACTTACGTCTATGAGGTGAGCAATGAATGCTGAAACAATTCACTGGAAATCTTAGTAAGAACTTTTTTGTGTGTGTGTGCTTTTGATTTTTCTGTAGAGGGAAGATTGTGAGGATTCTCAGCAGGTGCTGCAGGCATGCTGGGCTCCCGTGTGCTGCTCTGCCTCTGCTCCATGACCTGCTGCCTCACCCTGCTGCCGGCAGCTGGGAACACGATCCTCCGCTTTGGCCCCTGTAGGATTTCAGTGAGCATGAGTGAAATCAGGGCTGGCTTCACCGCCATCAAAACCAACATTGTAAGTCCTGCTGTGGGCTCCTGGGGAGCAGCTTGTGTTCCCATAGCCCTGCAGTGCCAACAAGTCCCTCATTGCATCTCTCTCTTCCACACAGCAAGCCCGGGACCCCATCAGGACGCTGAGCATCCTGTCCCATCCACACTCCCTTCACAGGGTCCAGGTGGGTGCCATCAGTGTCCTGCTATGCTTCCTTCCTCCCTGCTAACCGTGCTCAGGGCTGGGAGCTGCTGGGTGATGCAATGGCGTCTGAGTTCCTGTGAAGTGCATGGGAAGAAAGGGCAGGGCAGGGAGGAGGGGTGATGTAAAGGCGTGAAAGGAGCTGGGGGTCCTGCAGTGGTTTCTGCACGGAGAGAGCTTGATGCTTCTCCAGAAATGTGCACAGCACCCAGGTGGGTGTCCAAAAACTGGGAGACACAGGGCAGGAGAGAGACAGGAGCAATGGGTGGTGGAGGACAGCATAGGCTGCACTGCTCTGAAGGGATGGGAAGGGCAGGGAAGGGTCTTGCTGGTGTTCCTCACCCTTCTTTCTCTGCAGGGTGGTGAGCTGAGAAATATAAATAAAGCTTTTGCAGCTCTCCTGCTCCAAGGCACTGTACTTGGGCCACTGCTTCATGCCTCTAACACCCAGCTACAAAGCCAGCTCATGGGTTTGGTCAGTCAGTGAGGCACGCTGAGGGTGGGACTGCAAAATCACTCTATATCTGTTATCAGCGTACCTCAAGCAGAGCTGGAGAAGGTTTGTACACCACTGCCAGCTCCAGTGATGGGTGGCACAGATGTTTTCTTCTAGCAGTGGGAAGAAGGGCTGTGCCCAAGGGTTTGAAGCACATGGGAAAAGAGGAATTTGTCCCTTAAGCCTTCAGATAAATGCTGCATGGTCCACAAGGTCTTCAACTTCTACGTGGACAAAGTCTTCAAGCACTGCCAGACTGAGAATTCCTACATCAACCGAAAGATCAGCAGCATAGCCAACTCCTTCCTCAGCATCAAAAGGAAACTCGAGCGCTGTGTGAGTCTCATGTTGCTGAAGTTTAGTTTCAGCTTTGGCATTTGGTATGCAAATAAACCCAAGCGTTTTATAAGTTACAAAATCTTTATTTAGAGGAAAGCTCTTAACAAGAATAGGAAGAAGCACGGTGAGAAGGGTTTGTGCCTTCATTGAGAAATTGATGTATGTGCTCATTCACTGCCATGGCAGTGACCAAAACCAGCACTGGGTCTGCCTGGGTGAACTGCTCTCAATGGAGCCTGATTTCAGGACCTCAGATGGGTTCTCTGTCTGTGTTAAGAGAAATCTCTCATCCTTAAAATGCTCGTGTTCAAGAAACGTGTCGGTGTTCTACTAAGGGACATGGTTTGGTGGGGAAGCATTGGTGATGGATGGATGGTCGAACTGGATCATCTTGGAGATCTATTGCAACTTTGGTGATTCTGTGATTGATTCTATGATTGATTTTGTGATTGATTCCATGAAAACGAAAACCTCCAGCTTAACAAATTCAATTTTGTTTTTCTAGCATGATGAAAACAAGTGCTTGTGTGGACAGGAACCCACTGAGAGATTTAAGCAGATACTTGTGAACTACGAAGGGGTAAGCTGATGATTAAGCCCAGTAATTAATGCAGCTATTCAGCCCCATTACACTTGGTGGTATCTTTGCAACCTGCTCCTTTACATCCCTTTCAGTTGAACGTCACATCTGCAGCAATGAAATCCCTGGGCGAGCTGGACATCCTGCTGGACTGGATGGAGAAATCCCCATAGAGAGGAACCATGTGCTAACAGAGCTGCTGGGGGGCTGCACACCTCGGGAATGCACTGCCCCAGAGCCATTTCTTGCTGACTGTTTGATCAAGCACTGAGTGTGCTGTCAGGCACAGGAACAGGCACACGCATCCACAGGGTCTTGCATTTGGATGGCAATGTGGAGTTGGCTTGAATCAACAGAGCGTTCACATCTCTGACTTCTATCAAGCGACACTTTCCAAAGGGAGAATTTTAAAGAGTTCTCTTTGGCAGGCAATAAGCTATGATAACTTAATAAAAGTATTGTTTGAATTATCAACTCTTTGCATGAGAGCTGTGTGTTCACGAGCACTGAGTGCCTGGCTGAGCTGCTTGCATAGAGCTGATGTTACAGAGCTGCATTTGCCACTCTGGTCTCAGCTCTGTCTGAAAGGAGGCGATGGCTGACAAACACTTGCAGAATAGGTCCTTGCAGGTACTGCAAGCCAAGGAAGTCTGTGTTTCCTTTCCAGGTGATGTTTTCTGCAGTATCAGTGAAATGAAGTGTTCTATGGAAGATATGTGGTTGCTGAATAGAAGAAATCTCCAGTGTGCATTTACTGACAGTCAGCAGGAGGTTTGTGGAAGGCTGATGCGCTTACTGTAAACAAAGCCAGCCTGAAACTGTGCTGAGTTTGCACTGAATTCTATCAGAATTCAGAGGAATTACATTTCGAGTTGGTGAAACTCAGAGCTCACTGTGGTGCCCTCTCAGAGCCAGCACAGCCCCTGCGATCAGATGCACCACTTAACCTATGGCCGTGGCTCTAATGCCTAGCAACTTCTCTTTCTAGGAAAGAAAAACCCACCCACAAGTGATGTTGGGTTATTCGTAAGAGCAGTCAGGAAGCAGAAGGTGTCTGATTTTGTTTGCTTTTAGATGTGAGTGGATGTGCTGGGGTGGTGGAGGCGAAGCGCAAGGTTTCATCCTGCAGCAGTGGGGCTGCAGGGGGAGGAGGAGCGCCCTGCACTGCACACCCCCCCCATGCTGGAAACTCCAAAATGTAAACTGGAGTGATGTGAAACCAGCCCTGTTTGTCCATGGGATCACTTCCATTGTGCACGACGGATAGCCTCCCATCCCTCTTTTGGGCTCTTTTACCCTCAAGTGGCTGCACACGCAGAGATCGCTCACCATCCTTGCTCACATATTTGCTTATGCCAGAAAGGAAGTGCTTCCAGGGCCCTCCTTCACCTCATTTACTTTCCCATGTACAGCATTTTGCAGTGTGACTTCCATTCTCCTTATCCATGTACTCAACCCCTGCAGAGGAAAGGCTGCCCTGAGGCAGGTGGAGGAGGAAACTGCTTCACAAAGGGACAGAGAAAGGGGTTTTCTCCTGCTGGAGATTTCCAAACCACAGCATTCTCCTGCAGCTGTATTGCTGCTCAGCCCCTGGGGATGTGTTTCCTATTGCACCAGAACTGTTCATTCACTTCCAGCAACCGCGGGCAGGCACAGACCCATCCTGTCCTTGCTGCTCCCACTGCTGCCCCATGCCGTGGAGGGGAGGTTGCAGCAATGCTCCTTATTCCTTATGTTTTACCACTTGCTGTCAGAGATGCACATAAACAGGACAGAACCAGGGAACCTGAGCAGGTCAGTGCTATTTCTGTCCATCCCCTCCATCCTCTCTGCCTCTCACGATCCTGGCTGCTGCCTGGGGATGTGCAGAACTTCGAGTGTTCAGGGCAAATTGCTGCTTCTTTGTCACATCTCCATCCTCGCTGCTCCTGCAAGGCTTTATCTGCGGGGTGTTTGGCTCTCTTCACCAGGATCTGACCTACAGGCAGCAGCGTGGCCATGCACAGATAAATTGCTTTTCTCTGTTGAATAACCCACTCTCGAGGATAAGACCAGGAGACAACACTGTTTTAATTACAGTCATCATTGCTTCTGCCTGGACAAGCACAAAACCAGCCAGGGAGGCTGACCGTTGGTGCCTATTGCTTAATCAGTTAAATGGGTTGTCATATTAATTAACACCATTCTGTGCTTTCCCCTTGCTCTGCCACAGACTGAGAGCCCGTCTGGTCTGCTGAAAGCTGCTTGTATCTTTATTGGACATGAACAACCCCAGGCACTCCTGGTCTGCGGCTGCTGCCCTATGACCAGGAGAGCAGAGGGAAATCAAAAGCAAAAGGCATTGCCCTAAAGAGATTTCCAGGGGGAAAAAAAAAAAAGAAGAGATTATAAAAAAAAGATTTAAAAATACATTTCTTGTAGTCTTTGGGAGCGTCGAAGAGGGTCCTGGCTACGCTGGTGATGCTGGGGCTCAGCCTTTATGATTCTGGCTGAATCTCTGCTCCAAGCTGAATTTAAGGACGGAAAATCAAGCAATAGCAAATGGGGGCAGCAGCAAGCAGCGCAGCAGGCTGAGCTCTAGCAGTGAGCCCCATAGCAGAGCCTGCCCCCAGTGCATGTCCCCATCCCTCGCCCTCACACCGAACCACCCCACAGAGGGGGGGCCTCAGCCGGGGCTGTGCTGTCCCCCACGGAGCTCTGGGTGACACTGCTGGGGGTGAGGAGCGAGGCCGAGTAGGCGAGGTCAGCATCCTCCTTGGAGCCCTGCAGGAGGGAGGATGGAGGACACGGTGAGGGGTGATGGTCAGCGTTGGGGAGGGGGAATGTGTGGAAAAGCATCGCTTGTCTTTTGGCTTGGTGCACAAATATTGCATGAGCTTGTGGGTCCTCGAGGCAGGAAATAGCTGCAGAAGCTATTTAGGTAGAAATCTGGGGCTCCTGGCTTTGAGGAGGACCTCTGTAGAGATCTGGTTCAACTCTTGGCACTCACAACTACAGCTAACCCGTGGTTGAGGGTTAAAAAGAGTTGCTCTGAGCTCATGCTGTGTGTTGGTACCACACTGGCAGCACAGGCTCACCCAGGGCAGGGCAGGGCTTGGGGTACGTGGGCTGGAAGGGGTTACAACCCCCCGGTGGCTGATCTGCTGCAGGTGGGAGGCTCAGCCATGATGGAGGCAGCTGGCTACAAATAGGGCCCAGGGGCTGGGGCAGCTGTTTTGGTGATGCTGCAGGGCTGCGTTGGGGCTGCAGGTCAGTGTGCTCTCTCCCACCTCCCCTTACCCGTTTTGCCTTCTTTGTCTCAGCGGTGCTTTCAGTGTTGGCTGTGGTGGTGACAAATTCTGCACAGACAGAAAGGCAGATGTTAGAGGGTGATGTCTCAGCAGCTGCTGGGCTTCTACAAGCCCTTGCTGCTTTCTCCAAAGCTTGGGGTTCTGAGCAGTGCCGTACCATCCCCTCCCAGCTGGGTCTCCTGGCTCTGCTTCATGCACATGTTGTCGTTTGCTCCGTACTCCTTTGCGTTCTCGAAGTCTGACATGCTGATGTTGGTCCTGTAGCTGCCCACCGACACCAGATCTGTGCAGGAGAAGCATTCACAGTGGTACTAGGAGCAACTCCAGCCGACACACTGCAAGCAGGCTGCCTTCATCTTAATGCTAGTGACACTTGAGGGCTTACACAGGGCAGGGACTCACCTGATCTCCTGATCTGACGATATTTAAAGACAGCAAAAGCTACAGCAAGGACCAGGAGAGCTGCACCAATGGGGCCCAGGATTAAAGCAAGAGTGGTGGAGCCAGAGCTTTGCTCAGAGCTGGAAGAGAGGAAGGTGATGCACTGAGCTGTGCAGAGAACTTTCTTACAGAATCATTCTGGACTGTACAAGCTACATAGATTTCCATCTGTCTAAAAGTCTGTATAAGATGGTAGATCTCAGTGAGTGTGATGTAATCTAACTAATGAACTGATCCGAGCACATCACAGGAGGATAAGTGAAGGTGCTGGATGGAGGTACTGCCCAAGAAGCTGCAGTGGCAGTTGAGTAACAGATGTGTGAAGGAAGGCTCTCTGATCTTGACAGAAATGCTTAAAATTGACTTTTCTGTACCTGGAATTTCCAATTGTTTCCTTCTGAGACTGTGTTTACACTTATCTAGAGAGTAATTCCAAGCTTTTAGCTGTGACTTTTTGCTCCTTCTGTTGCTCTGAGCTTATTTCTTTGGAGAAAAACATTTTCTTCATTGCTAAACTACGTGCAGTGTGCAAGCAGCCTGTCAACAAGAAGTTAACTTTGCAAAACCAATACGTGAGAGAGGCTGGGGAAGGACTGACCTTTCTGAGGCGGCTGCCCTTTGCACCCCAGCATCGCTGTTGGCTCTGTCCTGCAGAACAGCCTCACCAGGAGCAGCAGTATTGCTGGCTTCCAGATCCAGGAGCTCCGGGCTGATCTTGGCAGCTTTGCCTGTATGGTGGAGGTAAGAAGGGTGGTGAGATTTGAGCACCCTAAAATATTGCCTAAAGCTGATGCTGAGCCCCTTGCTTGCTCACAGGGAGCTGGGGACAGCTCTTCCTTTCTCCCTCCCAGCGCTTTCCCATCTGTAATGATGAATGGGAGCTACACACAGCCCTTTGTGTGACTGATGTTGGAGGCTGCATCATTTCAAGCGATGCTATGACTTGTGAGAGCAACTATTAGTGAAGATGGGGTTGAAAATGGTGAGGGAAGAAGTGACTGTGGGACTGGAAGGATTTCGTGAATGGGAACCAAGGCAGCCGGTCTGGGAGAGCCCACATTGGGAGTATTTCTGTTTTGAGGTGCTGCAACCTAGTGGACAAGGAGAGGACTCTTCCCAGCCGATGCTCCACCCTCCGAGCTTCGTTCCCTGGGGCTCACCTCCATCCACCTGCAGGGACACTGCCATGGTCTCCCCATAGTGGCCATCACGTCTCACCCCACACCAGTACCACCCCTGGTCCTCCACTGCCACAGAGTCGAGGCTCAGGATGAGTGTTTTGTTGGCAGTGTCACAGCTGACATCCAGCCCTGGTTGGCTTTGGTCAGAAGCAGTCAGTGGGGTGCAGCCATCTCTGCTCCACTTGCACCAATACTTCTCATAGGAGTAGTATCTGCATGAGTAGGAACACGTCAAGTCCACCTGTGAGCCCACTTCTGCCTGTACTTTCTCCTTTCCTGTTAATCCAGGCGCTCCTGTGAGGGCAAACAGAATGTGAAGCTGCAGTTAGTGGGTTAGCAGTGAGATGGGCACCCATCAGGTGTGGGGCTGCTGGAGGTGGTGAACCAGGGGGTGTGACCTTGGGACAAAGTGTTCCTTTACATTACTAAAATAATGGTGGGGATCCCACATAGAAATCAGGTGAAAGCTGGTTTTTGTAATATTTGGGATGAGACCTTTGTGCAAACACTTCCTCCTACGGCCAAAACCTTACATTTCCATTCTAAAACTAGAGGAGCATGGGGGAACTGTCACAAAGCTTTGCCTAGTGACAAAAGTTCAGAATCATTACTCGCATCTCTTCCCAAAAAGTGAGATCTGCTCTATTGTGGCAGTTGGACACGATGACCTTTGAGGTTTTTTCCAACCTTAATGATTCTGTGAAGCTTGGTAGGTTGTCTTGTTTTGTATGAAAGGGAACTGCTTATGGGTTCATACCTTCTATGATCTTCAGCTCCCTGGATGTTTTCCTCTCCCCGTGATCATCTGTCATGCACCAATAGAAGCCCTCATCGCTGCTGCTCAGCTGGTTCAGGATGACGCTGAATGTGCCATTCTCTGGGTTGTCAAACATGGCCACTCGTCCTTCATGTGAGATCGACTGGAGGCCATTGTTAGTTATGATCCAAAGACAGCCTGTTTTTCTCCATTTGCACAAATACTTCAGGGTGTAATTCTTGGCCGGGTCGTAGCGGCAATCGATGGTTACTGAACTTCCTTTTACTCCAAATATGATGTCCTTTTCTTGTGGTGTGTTTACCCCTGGAGATGAAAACAAAATGAGCTGCCTGACCTGCTTACCTTGTGCCATGTGGCAAAGCTCAAGTACAGCCAGGTGGTGCTCAGGTGCAGATGTGAGAGGACCATTCTGGCGCTGCCAGAATTGACCCCGATGGATCTGCCAGGCCTTTCCCTTTCCCAGATCCTCTGATGGTTGTTGTCCTTGTGCGTTGGCCTTTTTTTTAGTTTTGACCCCTCTGCTAGATGAAGGGTGGTCTTAAAGTTCTCACTGAGTGAGATTGTTAGTGGTGCTTCTAAAGAAAAGCAGAGACAAAGGGAAACAAAGCATTGGGAACAGCTCACTCACCCTCATAGACGTGCACGTTCAGCTCCTTTGTTTTTCCATACTCTCCATAGGAGCCAACCCCACACAGGTACAGGCCAGCATCTTCCCAGGCCACCTGGGTTATCATGATGCTGAATGCTCCTTCCATGTTGTCATTGCTCAGCAGGACTCTCCCTTGGAATTCTGAATCTATTTCCCCATAAGTGTCGACGATGTTGCGGCAGCCGCTCTTCTCCATCTTGCACAAAAACTTCCTTGTGCTGGCATAATCTGCCCCGAAGTCACAGGGCATGTTCACAGAGCCCTGCAGCTTCACATAGTAGAGCTCAGCTTCCTCGGGTACGTCTGGACCTGTGCAATCAGAGAGCAGTCAGTGTGTTCCCTATTGGAAGCTGGGTGATAGGCAGTCCTGCTGGGAGCACCTCTCCCTGTATTTCAGTGGCTGAGAAATCAGTGCTTTCCCAGCAAGGTTTGCTGCATTGAGTTTTATATCTGATTTCTAAGCCGGATTTTTTGGTCGGGGGAAAATCTGTTCTGTAAGAACATTAGTGGGGAAAAAGACCCTGGAAGCACGGAACACCCTGAGCTCTTGGATGCTCTTCTTGGGCAGACATCCCACGGAACTCTATCAGAAAGGGGAAGAAAAAGTGAAAGAAAAGGCTGCGATTACCTTCAGAAACGTCCAGTTTGACCTTGTTGGAGAGCCCCTTGCCATTGATCCCGATGCCACACTGGTAGGTGCCTTGGTCTGTCAGGGCCAGCTGTGAGACGTTGACCAGCATGATGCCCTGCTCCGGGAAGTCGGTGATGGTGACTCTGTTCTGGTAGCTCCGTGCTGTGTATCCACTGGTGGATATCACAGTCAGGCAGCTCCTGGAGGATTCCTTGCACCAGTACTTCCTATCGTGTCTGTTCACCGTTGAGGGAGGGTAGAAGCACTTGATGGTAACGGAGCCATCGATCAGGCCGTACACTTGCTGCGGTCCGAACACCGGGTTTAAGCCTGCAAGAAGAAAACCCATTGGGTGTGCATGCCATGCACCGTGCAACCATGGCTGTGCAAAGGGCTGCATGTCCTGGCGTGCTCTGAAAAGTCCCATGGCAGTGCTGGGTGTGAATGGGGACCCCAAACCCTTCTGTCTCCCTTAGGAGTGCATCATCTGGTTTAATGCTGCCTGCAAAACCTCTGTGTTCTGGGCGGGTTACACTTACTTGCTTTGGGAGGATATCTGCTTTTTGCAGATTCAGCTGGGAGGAAGGAGAGCAGGAGGATGAATGCCAGCAAAGTCATTCTTCTTGCATTCCCTGGAAAAGGCACGGAAATCAGTGAATAATAGCACTTGCAAAAATGATTAATGGTTAAGTCACCTGATAATGTCTCTGCCTGGATGATAAGAGCATTGTGGCTGTTAGAGAGAAATACAGCACTTAATCACTTGTCAAGCAATTTAATAGGAAATGGGGAGCTGATATCTGTCATTGCCTGTTTTGCTACACGGCATTGTGACTACTTGTGCATCTAACACCTCAACCACATCAAACAGCAGGAGTTGTTTTCACCATAAGCCAGTTAATGCCAGGCTTGCAGGCTGACTGTGGCTGTCTCTTGGGCAGGCAGCAGCGTCAACGTGCACAGCACAAAGAGAGATTTTGGCCAAATTGGGGTTGATCCAGAGTCAGAAGTGACATTTGGTATCACTCGTTACAGCAGAACAGCCCCTTGGAAGACTGAAGTTCACAGATGGCCCAAAAGCTGCTGAGCCCCAGCAGGACTGGAATTCAGGGTGTCCAGAGCTGGGCTGCTCTCATGACCCTTGCTAGGAGATAATGGCACTTGTGATGGTTTGTTGTCCATGCAGTGAAAGAAGGGTTTATTCCCTTCTGAGCCCAGGTGCCAAAACCGGTCCTTGGGAAAACCTGCTTGTGTAGAGCAGTTCCTGTCTGAAGCCTGTGTTTAATTTCTGATCTTTGCTTCCCTGTTCTCTTCAGGAATGTGATGGAGTTGGGTCTTTTCTCCCCTTGGCTGCTGACAAAGTTGGGGAGGTGCAGAGATTTAAACCCTGTGGAGAAGCAGAGCTGTGTAGCCCTGGCAAGACTCAAAACGAAGACTTTTGGAGCACCAAACCAGGCTGCTCATTCCCTGAAATGTGCCCACAGGATGAATATTTATGGCTTATCCCTGTCCTGATATCAGGGATGGCCCAGGGAAAGCCAAAGCTTTTAATTTGCATTGTGAGTTTGCTGTAGGATTCTCCATGGTGAGCAGATGCATTTCCAAACTGTTGATCTACCCATTAATTATTACAAGCTATAGTGAAGATGATGGATGCCAAGCAAAGCCTTTATAAACAGTCAGAGGAATTTGATTTCTGGGTATCAGGTGATAGGGTTTGTTTTATTAGGGGTAATTCCCTGTAGAAGAAAAATGCCTTTGCTTCCGTGTGAAGATGAAAGGCGCTCTGTTATGCTTTCTTCCTTGTATTGGGACTTTTAATTGCTCAGTGTCCACTTGTCTGTGGCTAATAATTAACCCACTGAGCATGAAAAATGCTTCTTCATACATATCACACAGGCAGCCAGCAGGGCAAACAAACCATGCCATGTGGAAAGCAAACAGTGTGGCACAACACAGACCCACAGGGCTCCTGTGGCTGCTGCTTCCCTGCTGCCCTCCCACGCTCACTGCAGGGCGAGACAAGGAAGGTCTTGGGTCAGCTTTTCTCCCTTCTGGGCACAATTTGTGTTGGTCTGATTCCTTCCCAAAGCAATTGGCTGCCAGGCAGTGAAGGGTTATGGAGGTCTGTTTAGAAATGAAGCTACAGCTATGCCCAGAAAGATGTGCCAGAGTCTGCACACATAAGAGCAGAAAGGTTTTGCATCTTTGAGGCCACATGGATGTGGTTGTGCCTACCTGAGGATAGCAGTTTGCATGGAACACTGTACACATCTGTAGCTCTGCACTGCCTCTGCTCCTGCTCTAATGCTAACACCTTGCATGAATGAATGGAGGCAGATCCCATCCCATGCCTCAGATGAGGCGCAGCCACATGTTACATAAAGTCTGGGCTGACCCACTGAGCAGGCTGCATGGAAACCTCCTTTGGTGCTCTGAGTGCCCAGAGATGCTGCCCAGTGCGTGGATGTGCACAGCTGGGTGCTCTGCATGAAGCAATCACAGTTTGAGATGCTGGGGGAGAATCACTCTGAGCCTGCTGATAACACAGCTCGGGTTCCTTTGTGCTTTCAGAGGACTAGATTTGCTGTCTTCAGTCAGAGGACAGGATTAAACCTCAGATCACAGCTAAGAAAAAGTGCTGCTGAGCTGCATGGGAATGCAAGTAAGTGGTTGTGCGTGCAATCTGCATTAATACTACTCCCATGGTTGGTTCTGAGAGAGCCCTCGCATCCTTGTGAGGTCTGGCGTGAAGCACGAGGCTTGTGAGCTCCCTGTAGCTTCCAGCAGAAGCCAAATTGGGTCACCTCATGCAGGAGGGGTTGCTGTGGATTTCATGGATGCCTCCATCCTTTGCATGGGGCTGTGTGACATGGCTGCTCTCATCTCTGAGCTGTTCTACTGGGCTCAAGTGGCAGCTGGACTCCACTTCTGCTGCACTGCTCTGTGTGTCTGCACTGGATTCCTGGTGTCCTTGGAGCAGGAAAGACTGAGTGTGAGACCATGGTGTCCCTGCTGACTGATAGGTGCTGGGAACTGGGCTGCCACCCACGACTGCATCATACAGGCTGATGGGAGCCTGCACGTGGCTGGGTTGGTTGCCTTGGTTCGTGCAGGAGCAGCACTCGTTGTTTGGGCTGCTGAGCCCAACGCTTTGCATGTGCTGACTTAAAAACCTGATGTGTTAAAACCCTCAGTTTGAGGTTGTATGGGAGGTGATTCTATGAGATGGCCAGGAGAAAAGGAGAGGGAGCTCAGTTATTCCCAGTGGGAAGTGACTCTGAAGCTGCTCTGCGGCACAGGGCAAAGAAGCTGTAGATGGGAAAAGCTAAGCTGGCAGTTTGGATGTTTTAGGCCAAATTCTGGTGCTTTCTTTAAAACATTTTGATGGCTAAAGGGAGGAAAAAGGACAAGGGATGTCCTTCCCAGTTCTTGCCCATTTGCAGCGTGGGATCAGCAGAGGAGCAGCCGCTGTTGGAAAGTTTCTCCTGTGGTCAAGAGGCTGTGCCCCCTCCTGTCACCAGTCCCTGATTCTGCAGAAGATGTTGGCTGGATCAGCACCAGCTGTGGGCTGGGTTTATTCTCATTTCTTCCTTTTTTTTTTTTCTTTTTTAAATAAGCTCAAATCTTGTTTTTCTGAAGTAGAATCAACTTTAATCTTGCAACACCAAAACTGTTGGCTCCTTCCTCTTCCCTGCCTCCACATCATGTATTTCAAAGCTGAGCGGCACAGAACTGTGCAGCAGCAAGCAGCAGAGCTGCCAAGTGGGCTCTGCATGCTGCTGCGTGAGCCCTCCTCCCCTAAGATGGGTCGACCTGGACTTTGGAGAGGAATCTCCTCAGATTCATGCTGATACAAAGGAGATCAGGGCATGAAACAATTTATGCAAGCACAAGCAAGGAGCTGCTCTGAGTAGGTATGAAAAAAGCAGAATTCAGTTCCCAAATTCTGCTGACTCAACTGCAAGTTTCTCACCTGAGAAACCACTGTACTCAGATGGTGCAGCTTGCAAGGGATCAATAGCATGTAATCTATTAGCCATTAACTATTGCTCTTAACAATGACCAGTGTCAAGGACGTGCACTGGGATCAATGGAACACAAAGAGCTGGTTCCTACAATAGTTCTGCTTTGCATAGCAGTTGCTGTTATTCCCATAATTAAGAAACAACGTGTGAATGGAGTAATGTTTATATTTTTTTCTCCCTCAAATCCTTTTAAAATCAGACCCACTTATACTGGGGGTGAGCTGCGTGGATGCAAGCTGCTGTGGGCGTGATGCTGAGCAGAACAGTTGGGGTTGCATTGAGGAGGAATTCTGACATGGATGCTGGGGGCGATTCTTGGTGCCTGGAAGCAAAGCACAGACACAGCTGTCCTGCTGCCCAGCACCAAAACTCTCTACATCTTCATGGGACCCATCGCAATGACTGCGTTGATGGCTGCTTTGTGAGTGTTGCTAATGGGGAAAAGCCACCTGTCCCCTTGGATAGAGCATTTCATTGCACTTGGTGGAGGTGAGTGAGCAATGGACTTGTTAAAAGATCAGCCTGACCCGAATGCATACCAAAAATAAATCCTTCGTGTTCCAAACTGATGCCTGCTTTACAATATGGAGAGGTTAAACAGGGCGTGCTGATTTTGTGATACAGTGAGCAGAGGCAGCTAGGCAGATCCTGCTGGAGATAATCAACAAAATCAGCAGCCTTCAGGAATTCCTGCAGTACTTATTGCATCCCTAGCTAAGAATCCCTTTTGCTCCAGGTAGAACTTTGAGATGAGCACTATATTTTGGATGACAAATGAAAAAGAATGCCCAGATGATCCCCATGGTGATGATTGAAGTTTCTCCCTAGGTGGTGTCGATGATGACCTGATTGGATGCTCCTTTAAGCTGCTAGATGTGCCCCCATACTAACTTGTTGCTTTTCAGATGGGATTTGAATGGTTCACTTATTTCTTGTTTCTGTTTCTAGTCTCTGAGGCTGGAAAGTGAAACCGAGACTACAAACTGCTCTTCCAGTTTAAAACTGAATATTCCTGGAGCTTATAATCCAAAAGCACTGCAGTGGTGCTGTGCTGCGAGAGCTGGATGAGCGGAGAGCACCTGTCTGTGGCCACAGTGTGGCTGCTATTGGCAAGCATTATTTCTCTATGCAAAGGCATTAAAAGTCCAAAAGGACTTTGCATGGTAAGCATTTAAGTGTGCAGAAACCCAGCCTTTGCTGTGGCGCATTCCCAAATCCATATCCCTATGACTGCCTCCGTGCTGCCATTCAAAAGGCTGTAATGACCACAGTAGTATTTACTAACAATTATTTCCTATCAATGCAAATACTGTAACGATAATTAAACTTATTTTCAGAAATGGAAAATCAAAAGCCTACCACGGAGAAGGAAGATAATATCATGAGCTTGATTCTGCACTTCTGATGTTCTTTTAAAGTAAGACAGCATCTCTTCACCAGCAAGACCTGCACGCCCATGCATGGCTGTGCAAAGCTGCTAATTTGAGGTGAATGAGTGAGAAGACAACGAAGAAGCATTACTTACACGTCAGGTTACTTCTGCAGACCTTTTTGTACTTCTTGCTTTCTCTTTGCTTCACTGCTCCTGGCTTCGTGGTTGACCTCAGGACCTCCTTGTGTGAGTGTGTGCCTGTCCTGTTTCCTTCCAGGACACCAGGCTCGGGCAGTGCCAGCCAGTTTTAAATACTCATACTTCTAGCCCTGCATTTCCACCTGTTGTGCCTTAAGGGAACAGCATCCAAGCCCAAGTGAGCCCTGAGCCACGTGGGAGCAGGGCAGCCAATGTTCCTCCTGGCTCTGTTGGCACTTGGCTCTGGGTGCAGCCTCCCGATTGCACCCTGCTGTTATGCAATCAAGGGTGGGCTCTGGCTCAGGATGCTGCCCTGGCACCTCTGCTGGCTTTGGGAAGGGATTCAGCTTGATGCCAACTCATGGGTCTGCTTTGTGTGGAGCGTGCTGGGGTCCTGTCCCTGTCCGTCTTTGGCACTGCACCCAATGGAGAACTCCAGTGTGCAGGGCTCACCTGGTTTCCCAAGTTGTGACATCCTCAACCAACAGAGGAAGTGTTTGATAGGGCAAATCTGGGCAAAAACATCCTTGTCACTGGTTTTTCATCTTTTGGAAACCAGTATCCTAAAGCAGACCCAGGCATGTTGGCTTTCCAGGTAGGACACGTTGGCCTTGCTATGGAGGTCTGCCACATCCCCACCCTCTGTCTCTACCTCTTCCTGGGGAGAGTAAGGCTTGGCCTTGTCTGTGCAGGGCAAGAGCTCTGCATGTTCTTTAAGAGGAAATATGTGTGGGTGCTTTGCTGTTGTGTTCAGCCTTGCTGCTCTGCTCCCCTGCTGTGGAATACTGAGGATCCCAAGCAGGAGTTCATTCTGAAGAGTGGGGTTGTTGGAAATGGAACTGTATGAAAGCCTAAAGTCAGAGATAACTGAATTGTTTGTGTGGGATGAGACATTAACTTGCTTTCCTTTATTCTAATTAAAGCAATGATTTTGTTTTATTCGGGGCCACAGGAAGACTTTCTCACCCGCTCATAGGACAAGCTGAGGAGCTGGAGCAGGACAGCGGCTCTGGGGTTTGTGCTTGGCCACAATAAACACAGGTGTGTTTGCTTTTTGTACACCTACTGCTCTCAGGAGAGCCTTTCCTTTTTGGATGCCTGCATGTTTCCTTCCCACCTCCTGTCTGGCTGCTCACGTGCACAGAGATGTGCTTGGAAGGAGCTGGAAATGGTGGCACCGCAGTAGGCAGAGGAACCTTGGATGAAGGCAGCCAGGTGAGGGCCTGCAGCCATTTGGGCACCTTGGACAAGAGGCAGTTCCTGACAGACTAACAGCTTCTTTATCCAAACCTCCGTCTTTGCCCTTGAAGTTTCTGGTAAAACTGATCCTTTGTCTCTGAAGAAGATGGAATTACGCAAATATATTTGCTTTAACAGACAAGGAAGCGTCGTCTTGCCAAGTCACAGGTGCCAAAGCACTTTGGCATCTCCAGAACACAAATAACCCTTGCTTTGCTTTTTTTTTTTTCCTCCAGGCTGAAGTATGGCACACAGTCTGGGCTGAAACCTTTGGTGTTGAACTGAAGTCTGACACGGTTTGTGCTTTGCAAAACAAATCCCTAAGGATGAAGATTTCCAAGAGTCAGACCTGCAGCCCTGAGGATTCTTGCATTCCATACCCAGCTCCCCATTGGGGTGCTCTGCTCTACAGGAGACAGTCAGGGTCGCATACAGGAACAGCATGGCTAGTTGCTTCATTTTGTTCTCTACACGCCACACAACAAGGCATTTGGCTGTGGAATGGGGAGCAAGGAAGAAGTGCTGCATGCTTTGAGGTTATAGCTGCATTTTGCCTTTCAGTAAAGGAGCTTCTGAGCTTATGTACATCGTGCTCTGAGAGGAGGGGTTCTGCCTGGGTTCCCTCAAGTCTTCATCATTCATGATGGAAAGAATATTTTTCACTGAAGGATTCCTGTGAAAAAAGAAAAAAAAAAAATAAGCTGTTACATGGTAGCACCTTTACAACAGTTCTAGAAGTGATTTTATCAGTTTGGTTTTATGCTCAGCTCTTTGATAGCTACACTACATTATCCCATTGCTTTTGGAGATGTCTGTAGATTTGCTTTCTGCTTCTGATCAGAGTTGGTGGACGTTTCAGTTGGGAGGAAAGATGTAAGCATCCACCCACTGGTGTGTTCCAGAGGGCAAAAGTTGTCACAACCAATATTCCTTTGCAACAGTCTGCCTCTGAAACATTAACAGCTGCTTATAGCATCAGGGAGCTCGGGTCCAAGTGCATTGTGACAGGAACAGGAAACGCCATCACCAATCTTCTTGAACCACTGCAACAGTGATTTGGATATTTTTTGTGATGGGGAGGTATGTTTCACCAATATGAATCTCCACAGCTTGGGTATACTTGGAAATGTCTCCATGGGTGTTTTCTACAGCAGTAGGTTACCAGTCCCCCATGACAGCCCCATCGATTTCATGTTACCCAACAACGGACACTTACATACAACCTGGTCTGCCCGAACCTTCCAAGGAGAGCACGTATCATCCTGCACATGTAGGGCAGAAAAAAAATGATATGCTTGCAACACTGATCAAGGATTGCTTCTGTAGAATACTGCAAGAGGTTGCAATCAATCAGATTTTGTTGGAACGAGCAAGCAGGAAGAGCGATAACGCGTTCGTAATGCGTCAGCAAGAATTGTAATCAACAGTAACATAAATTTATAGGCCTTGTATAGGATTTAATCAAATTATTTTGAAGATTACGGCTCAATGGCTCTTGGTAAGGGATAAAGGCAGCAGTTCCGGGAATGCAAACGCAATATTTGTCTTGCAGAGATGTTTTAAATGCTAAGCAACAGGCCACCTTAAAATTGGTTTTGTGACTCTTCTACTCAAGCAGCTGGCATTTGCAGCTCTGGTTGCAAGAAAACACCCACCGATGTCTGCCTGCCTCTGCCTTGCATCCATTGGTGTTGTCTGGGCTGCTGAGGTCCTCCATCCCCTGTCCTTCAGTGGGACTCAGCCCAGTCTGCACCAGCACAGCTTCTGTCTGTCCCAGGGTGCTTCCTTCTTCTGAACAAAATGCACATATGTGGGGGAGGGAAAAGTTCTTCCAACGCCTACTTACATCTATGAGCATGGCACTGGATTAGCCTCATGTATCCCAGCCTCATTCTTGTGAACAATACATTTGGATCAAGTACTCACCACTCTTCTCACTGAGTAAAGGCCTTAAACTTTTACCTAGAGGCAACACAGCATGAGATTGCCTGCTGTTGGCAAGAGTTTCTCCAGCACCTTGGTCTGTTGTGCACCCATTGAGTCAGGTTTGTCTCTGTGGAGCACAGCTGTGTCCTTGCCCTTTATGTTAAGGTTTCCAAGCACTGTGGAGCTGTAAAGCTGTTTGTTCAATGTGCTGCTCCCCAAGAATGCAAGCAAAGCCCTTCCAGAAGAAACAACTGTAACCCAAAAGGTGTTCTATGGCCAACTTACCCATCTCCTTACGAAGCTTTATTTTGGTAAGGACAAGAACAGTGGTAATGATGAAAATCAGCAAAACCAGAGCTGGTATCACAACGGAGAGCAGAGAGAATTCGCCTGATGAGCTGGAAAGAGGAACCATTGAAACTAAACAGGATTTTGAGTCAATTACTGGGCAGCTGAATGCAGGCTGCGGATTTTATAGCAAATAGCCTGACTGACTCAAAGTAGAACAGTCAACAAAGTCAAGCAGACTTGAATTCATTTGATCTGGAGTTTGGCTTATGAGGAAGTAATTTCCACAGCTACCTCTGCTCTACCATGCTGGGTTTATGCTTCACGTTGACTTATCCCCTCCAAAAAGAAAAAGAGCTATTTTCATCACGCAAACTCCCAAGCAAGGTTCAGACTCTCTCTGTGACCTCTTGTAGGCTCGCATGCTGTTGCGGGGCATCTGTGTGCTGTCTCCTTGAAGAATGCCATGAGTGCTAATAGAGTTTGACACACAGACAGTGAAGAATCCAACCCTTTATACATATATATATGTGAATTGAGGTTAGCAACGTGCTCTTTTTGACTTGAAGGAGGCTGCAGGTGGTGAGAGAGGGGTTGGAGCCATGGTGCTTTTTATACAAGCTCTAAAGTGAGCAGGGTTGCTGCTCAAGATGTCGGGATGGATTTGTGGACTTTGTGGTTTTTCTTCAGTTACAACTGATACCTCAGTATCTGATGCTCCTGTGCCAGCTATGCAAATCACCTGGTGCTGGATGGTGCCATAGGTGAGGGGAAGGGTCCAAAAGTTCGCAGCTGTCCTGCTTAGCAGGAAGCACAGGAGCTAAAATCACCAGGTGAGCAGCAATTTTGCAGAGAAGTGCCATGGAGTAATTACTGGCCAAAATAGCTGATGGCCTTGTGTTTAACCTCGTCCAAAGATAGGTCCTTATGCAACGCACCCAAACACTGCAATGCACTACAGGCTGCCTGTAATGACTGGGATAAGGTGTGCAGTGAAGTATGAGGCAGCTACTGATTCACCAGCATTATTGCTCAAGCCTGCTGTTGCTTAACATCCTGTCTCCATTCTAACCAAAGGAAAGGAACACATCTATTGACTCTGGCATCCGATCTACACCAAAAATTCAAGACAAGTTCAAAGACCCACACCACAGATGGACACGAGATATGCTTGCCTACTGCTTTTCTAATTACTCTCTTCTATCAGAGTTCATAATCTGCAGCATGTGCGTCGCCTGAGTAGAGCCCAGGGAAACTGGGCAGGTTGGAGCAAAGCCCCAAGGTTGTGGCTATGGGAAAGGTGGCCATGAACTTACCTCTGGCTGTAGGTGTCACTGAGGGAGGTCACAAAGGTGCTGGGGGGAGGACTGGTGGATGGATGGGGGCTGGTGCCCTCAGTTCTGGTGCCTGTGATGTATGCCAACATTGCGGTGAGTCTCAGCCCAGTGGTGTCTGTTGGACCCATGGTGTCTGTTGGTCCTGTGGTGTCTGTTGGTTCTGTGGTGTCTGTTGGCCATGTGGTGCTACTCTGTGTCACTACATGGTTGGAAGATGACCTGAACGGCAAAGTGGGGTTCACAGAATTGTGCCTTGCTGGGTTTGATGAAGTGAAGATTTCTGCAAAGAAAATGGTTTGGATGCTTAAATATATATATTTTTTTTTTTGGTAGAACATTCCAGAATTTCCAAAGATTTGCACATCTCATTTTGAGTCTGCTGATGGAAAAAAAAAAACACAAAAAAACATGCAACATCATATGACCATTTCAATTATAAAAAACAATTTGGGAATACTAATGAAAATCCGTCCAATTCTTGGCCAACATTCCTACTTCAACCTCACTATTTCTGTCTCTGATAGCTGAAGAGCGAATTGCATCTGTGTCTTTGCATGCTGAGGTTCCTAAAACTGCAAGATACCTTCAGAGTTACATCTCCATGCTGCACGTGTTGCACTCAGGATGTCAAGTGCTGGCGTTTTGCATGGTGAATTATCAATGATATTTTCAAACAAACCAGATTTCCGCAGAAAGCTCAAACGTTTCTATAATGCCACTACGTTTATGCACGGAACAAAGGAAAACGTTTGAAGGGGGTGTCTATGAAGGGATAAGGGGAAGAGTGATTAACAAAAGGAGAAGGATTTTGTTTCCAGCCAGCCATCGCCTACCTTTCTCAATGAGCAACTTCATGGGGGTCGTGTGCTCCCTATGCCCGCTCCTGGCCCCACACCAGTACCACCCTGCATCCTCCTCTTGCAGGCGGCTCATCATCACGGTGTAGGTCCCACTGTCCTGCATGCTGCTGCTGATCCACATGCGCCCTTTGTAGGACTCCTGCACAAACCCATCGGTGTCCACCAGCAGGGAGCAGTTGGCCTTCTGCCACCTGCACAGGTACTTGCTGGTGTAGCTGCCTGCAGGGTCGTGGTGGCACCTGAGGGACAGTGAGCCCCCCACGCTGCCATGCAGAAACTTCACCCTCCGGGGCTGGGCAGGGACTGAAGGAAGGAGAAGTTCATGATGATGTTTGATATGGCTGCAATGAGCCCATGGGACACAGCAGCCCCCGGAGTCCCCTCCTACCTGTGGTCACCTGCAGGGCTACCATCTGCCAGCTGTCCCAGTCAGCTGGGCTGCCCATCCCACACTTGTACAGCCCCACGTCTTCTGGCCTTAAATCATTTATCAGCACTTTGAATGCTCCAGAGCTGTCCTGGGGAGTAATATAGATCCGTCCCTCGTAGCTCATTCCCACGTAGCCATCGGTGTCAGCAATGAGGATGCAGCTGCTTTTCCCCACTTTGCACCAGAGCCTCCTGGTGCCACCCCGGCTGTCCCCAGGTGGGCAGAGGATGGTGACAGAGCCACGGAGCTCCCCAAGGAACAGCTCAATTGGCCTCTGCGTGCCCACATCTGCAGGGACAGATGTGCGGGTGTCACCTCCTTTTGCATGGGTACTTCAGTCACATCTGTGGGTTTTATGCCCACAACTGCCTAAAGCAAAGGGTGGCAAAGGGGGCCTGATCCTCTCCCTGTCCCATCACCGTACCTGCTGACACCGTCAGGTTCAGGCTGACGTGGAGGTCGCTGTTGGTGGGGCCAATACCACAGCGGTAGGTCCCTGTGTCACTTGTCTTCAGCTGTGTCATCGTCACCATGAAGGTGCCATTCTGAGGGACATCCTCCAGGGCCACTCGGCCCACGTGGTCTTCTGAGATGAAGTTGGTGGTGGAGATGATGGTGTAGCAAATCCCATCGCTCTTCCTTTTACACCAGAACTTTCTGTCATGCTTGTTGGCAGGCGTGATGGAGTAGAAGCACTGGTGGGTGATGGACCCTCCTACTGCACCTGACAAAAACCTGGGCCCATACAAGGTGCTTGAGGCTGGCTCTTTGGGGAAGGAGGGAAGAAGTGCATTAGGTACAGACGTGAACATCCATGTGGATGGGGAGCCTTACCGTCCCAAGCAGGGTGCCAGAGGCAAAGCTCCACCAGCCCTTGCCATCCTGCTCTGTAGTGATGGCGAGCAGTAAACCTCCAGCAGGAACATTTTGTGCCTGCACAGTTTCCTGGTGACTCACCTTGCAGCAAAGCCACAAAGAGGAGGAGAACTTCCATCTCTGCCCTTCTCGAATGTTCACTCGGCAAACTTCCAAATCTCATTTTGGGTACAGTTTTTGCTGGTGTCCCTGTGAGCAACCAGAAAGGAGATTGTGGTTTGGATCTGCAGAGCTGAACAGCTCCAAAAAGGCACGCACAGGGAGTTTGAGGATGGCAACGATGATTGCCAAGCCCAGATGCAGCCATGACCCATGGCACCTCACTGGGTCTTGCCCAGACCTCCGCAGCCCAACCTGGGGCCATCAAACATGCTTATCTTCTTTTTTTTTCCGGTGCAAAATCCCACCAGCATGCCGTATGCTCCTCCTGGTAAGGTGCAATTATCTTTCTAACCTTTTAATTTTACTTAGCTGTAACTAAACTTCTTTCAGGAAACCTTTGGGCAGACTGCTGTTATCCATTTCCATATTTAGAAGTGATGTTTGAGTGTTTAGGAGGGGAATTACTTCCTTGTGCAAGTTAAAAATTGACTTTTGATTCCCGGAATTTCATCCTATGGAATCCCCTACTAAAATTCTTTGAGATTAACTTGACCCCCACCACGATTCAAATCTGAAGTTGGCACAAACCAATTGATTTGTTTCGTCCTTGCTAACTGACTGAGCTAACCTCAAAGCATTTTGGAGACAGGAATAAGGAAATGGCCACAATGCAGTGCTGTCGTGAGCCTTATTTCCAGCCGTAGTGCTGAGCCCTGGCAGCAGCACGTGGGGTGGGTGCCCCTGGATGTGGGTTTGGTCCATGCAGCATCTCACTCCCTGAGCCTTGCACGCCTTGCTCACCTTGCACAACTTGCATTCTTTGCTCGCCTTGCATGCCTTGCTCACCTTGCATACTTTGCACACCTCGCACTGGGATTATGTGCATCTCTCCTGTAGCTCCCCAGCTGCACTGCCTCCAGCTGTGGGGCTTACAGACCCAGCTTACAGACCCAGTTGCCTCTCTGCTGATGGGAAGTGTGGCTGGGACAGCAGAAATGTGCTCTTCCCTTTTCAGTGCAGACAGAAATGGTGCAGCTGGCCCTGCATCCTCTTTGGGCAGTTCCCCTTGTTTTTATTCTCCCCCAGTGTATGAGGCAGTGGGTGCAGCTCTGGCACCCAAAAATTAATGAAGAAGTCACAAATTTTGCCAAAGCTCCATCATTTAGCTGGCCCTGCTGCTGACAACTCAGATTAGCATTCTAACAAGGCTTTCTTCCTATATGGTACATTCTGTGCTGGCATTAACTTGCTAAGTTCTTCCTGGCATTAGGCCATTAGCCTGGATGCAAAGTGCCTGCAGGCTGGTGTAGCTCTGTGCCTCCTTAGGGGTGGATGCCACGCTTGCACAACCACCCAGCTGCGATATTTTGGGATCCCATACAACAGCTTCACAGCCCCACTCGTTCACTCCTCCATTTCCTACCCTGAAGCAACAAGCAGAGTGTCAGCACTGGGCTGGGAAATGCCTGGGCTGTGCCTTCCAGGACCTCCACGAAGATGCTAATTAATAAGGAGATCTCACTTCTTCCACGTCCAATTGCCTTGAGCAATTCCAGCTCAGCGCCAGCCACATGCATTCTACTTGCAGCACCAAACATGCATTTTCTGGGTTATTTATGGCACGCTGAGCTGCACATGATTGGCAGCCATGAGGACTGGAGCTCTGGGTGCATCCGTGACTGATGGATCAGATGGAATCTAAAGCAAAGCACGTCCAGCAGGTCTGTCCTATCTATGCAACTGTTCTGCAGCGTTGCTGGGTTGCTGAGCTGCGTTCATTTACTAGGCACTGCCCACCACCAAATAACACAAATAGCAGAAAGCGACAAGAGAGCCAATATTACAAATCCCATTTCTTTTTGCTTTCTTCCTGTCTTCAGTTCAGTTTTCTGCAGTGAAAATGCCTGTGTGCCCAATTTTGTTGCATCCGTCTGATTAAACAGCCCTTCCTCCACTGCCAAGAATACTGCTGGTTAGCTGCTGCTCCACAACAACTGCTTAGCATCTCTCCATGTAATGAGAACTTGCCTCATCTACCTCATTTTTCTGTGCGCTCTTTGCAAAATGCAACAATCCATTTGATAGCTTTAAGGAGAGGAAAGAAAGAATTATGCTAGCTCTAGAAGCAAAGGCAGATTCAGGCAGAAATGGGTTGTACCACTCTTCCTGCACTAGAGATGACAACTTGACGTTGCAGATCTATTGCATATTGACACCCATCCTTTGCAAAAGTGAAATCTGTCAGAGCAGTGCAGGCTGCTGCTGTGTGATAGCACTGCACCCTCTTCAGTAATAACTTCAGGGCAAAGTGAGGATCACCCACCTTAGGTTAGGATGCTTCTGCTTCTGGTCTGCGGCTCTGCTGGTCTCTGCTCAGCTCTTGATGTTTAATTCTTTGTTTTTTAATGTAACGATGTTTAGAGTTAATAATGATTTTGCTCTATTGAGGTTCAGCAGTGCATTGCTGAGCAAGTTGGAGACAGCCAGAATAATGACAGAAATAGGAGAAATGACAGTGATGTACTGAATATGGAACCTGCAGAGTGCTCCTTTTTAGCCACTTCATGATGGAAAGGAAACCAATGAAGAAGCCAGGAGCAGAAACTGCACAGTTCTGAGGAATTCCCCAGTGCTTCAGACAACATGCAAAGTTGTAACACAAAGGAATGGTTTTTAATTACTAGCATTGAAATGCTCTTTGCTGGGAAGGGCCTTTAGGCAGAACTTCACATCAAGAATGATCATTGTGTGTGTTTCTCCCCACTTCTGCAGTCTGAACCACCCTGATGCTCATCCTCTGGCACCACATTCTAGAGGATTCCAGAACAAAAGTCTGTTTTCTGCCCCAACAGTTGTTAAAGTTTCTCACTGCAGCAAGCCAGCGAGAAAACTGGCTTTCCAGGTAGTTATAATCATGTTAATGGAGGGAAATTATATTGGATCATTGCACCATAGCCTGATTAAACCAAATTGCCAATCAGCTAAAGAGATCAAAGTTGAGAAATCAAATCAAAGCAGCATGTCACTAAGGCACGTGGATTTTACTTGAGAATATCATTATGATCTCTCAGTAACTTGTCATTTCGTAGTGATTAGTTTCTTTCTTATTTTAATTGTGCTGCATTTTAACTGCTGTGCATTTAAAGTTTGTTGGTTGGTGGATTGCACTGCTTCCGGAAAGGCAGAAGTGCGCATAGCAACAGTTGTGATGTTGTGGCAGACTTTGCTCTGTTTTTCCTACAAATAAAGATGATGGATTGAAGCACAGTCAATGCACAGCAGTGCTGAAAACGCCCCAGGTTGGTTCTGCCCTCTCCATACCCACAGGCTTTGCAGGACATTACACTCCATGTGAGAGCAGCAGGTGGTTTGGTGCTCATGGCAAAGCCAATAGATGTGACTTGCTGGAGAGCTTTGCTCTGCCCTGCCCAACGTGCCAGGGTACAAAGGTTGGACTCCCAAGCTTCTGGGGCACAGGTATGCTTTGAAGACTTGGACCATGCTTTCTTAAGCACTTGGATTTTCCCTGGACAAAGGTGTATCTCTATCCAGCGGTTTTGCTTTCTTTATCATCGTTTGATGACTTAAATGACTTAAACTGCAGTCGTTTTGTTGCTTTGTACCAAACCTGTGCAATAACCAGCTCCCATCACCCATTCAGCTTCAGTGATATCAGTCTCCCTAAGGGCATTTATTTGTTTTTTACCATGTTGATGGCAAAACAACTGGATTGCAATAAAATGTGGCACATAAAACTGAGGGTGAGAAACACCTCCATGCTGCAGGTGAGAACCAGAACTCCTTGTCCTTGTCCTTGCCCTGCGGGAAGCCACAACTGGGGCTCAGATGGGTCTGGATGACACCTGGATGGCAGCTGGGATCTCTCCATGCCCCACACAAATGATGGAGCAGCAGTGACCCTGCAAGACCCCATGGCTTGTCACTGGGGTAAGAGTCGATGCCCATGGGGAGCAGAGATCTCAGCTCAGGAGGTGCAGTGAAGGGTCTGAGCTCCGTTGGTGCCTCAGTCCGGGAAGCATTCTGTGTGCTCAAAGGTTTCTGTCCTAATTGCTTTATTGCTGCTGATAAGACACAGCCTCTCTACTTCCACACCGATGTTAATAATTCATTTTAACTGTGGCACTGGGTTAAGGCCCCCACATCTTCCTTTCTCTTGCCTTTCCCTGGCTGTTTCCCAACCGTTCCCTCGCTATCTGCGTGACCTCAGTGCAGGAACAGCTGACGTCCCGTGCATTGCTATGGGAGCCGTGCTCCTGCCCTTCGGTGCGGCTCTGGGATGGATGCGGGCGGAGGGGATCGGGTTTGAGCATCGTCACCTCGTGTCGCGCACCGCCACCGCGTGTCGCTGCCGCGGATCTGTCACGGCAGCAGAACGCTGCTGCTGGGCCCTGGTGGGGAGACGAGCAGTTTGCAGGTCACAGCTGGGAAAAGAACACTTCTGGAGAGTAGTTTTCTATCTTTTCTTTTTTTTTTTTTTTTTTCTTTTCTGGTTATTGGGATGCAGATTCCTGATTTTTCCAGGTACAGAGTGGGGCACTGCGCTGCTTCTGCATTTGCTTCCCTGAAGGAAGGGGCTGCGCTCACTGCTCAGCATCCAGCTGGTGGGAAAGGGAAGGGCACCGCGAGGGAAGGAAGAGAGTGAGGGGAGCCCAGCCGCGCGGGGGGGGGGGGGTTAAGGCTGCTCTGTTTGCTCACTGCCTTGTTCAGCATAGGAGTGGTTCAGCACAGGCACCAGAATAACGAGCACTCATGGCTTGTGTGTGCTGGACTCTCCCTTCCCCATCACCAGGATACTCATGCTGATGCATTGTATGCTGTCACCTTGCTGGTGGGGACATTGCACGGGTGACAAAACCTGGTGACCTGCCACCAGGTGAGCCTGGCATCCCATGGACTCCTTACAAAAGGTGAGGAGGACTTCTGGTATGCAAAGCTGCAGCAGAACGACAGCCCCATAGCAGGGACATGTCCCCACTGTCCCCACATTGCACTCCAAGTGCCGCAGCTGTTCCTGCATTAGGAGTGAGCTCTGGCTGCAGCAGGGTGAGAGCAAAGGCAGCAGTGATGCTGTTGGATGAGCTCTCCTGAGAGCAGCCGGTCGAGCCAGGTAACACATCCTGAGTCACTCTGATGAACAGTGGGGTGGCAAGATGCTTTGGGTGGAGGCTGATTGCTTTTGACCAGGTGATTTGAAGGGTTAGTAACAGAGATAGCAAGCAGCTGCTCCCTTTGCTCACCTGGGTATGAGGCCCCCAGGTGTCCCAGGCTGACCCCAGCAGGGACACCTGAACTCCCCACCTCCTTGAGATGAGAAAGGAGAGAAACAGAGCAGCGCTGGAAGAAAGAAGGGATATTTTCTCAGCATTATTCACAAAGCAAGGGGCATGGCTATGGCAGAGCGGTGGTGCCAGCAGGCAGAGGCAGGGACTGCATGGAGGCAGTGAAGGCTTTTTCTGTTACTAAACAAGAGCTGGCTCTCAGACAATTTACAGAATTTGCTCCTTTGAGCCATGCTTCCTTTAATGCACCGTGGATGGGCACCATATTGGGCCCCCAGTTTGTTTTCCCAGTGTACAGTTGTGAAAGTGCTGTTTGCTAATAAATGAGAACAACAGCCTGTGCTTGTTTTGCAGTGCCCATCAGAGTTAATGATTAAAGAGTAGCTAGGGCAGTGTTGTTGAAACAAGTCAGGTGTTATCACTGTGCATGAACCCCTGTGTGAGGAGCAATAATAACCTATTCTGTCTCTAACTGAACTTCAAAGCTAAAGGGCATTGGAAAGCAAAGAACAGCTGAGGTCTCTCTGAAACAGGAGTGTGTTCACCCTGCCTGTGCTGCCAAGGGGGACGCAGTGGCTCACTGGGACTGAACTGGTGGTTGCTGAGCACAGATTTTAAGAGCAGGAATGAAGGACGTTGTTTGAGTTTGGTTTTGAGATATCAGGTAAGTTTGCATCGCTGGGAAGTAAAGCAAAACAAACCACGACCAGAGAAAAATGCGTGCACTCGAATGGGCTCAGCTTGTCTTTCTGTCCGCTGTGTATCAGCAGGCTGTGAGCTCCCCACACTGAGCACTGTGCACATGGGGAACACAGTCAGGAGGGTTTGGGACCAGAACTTATCAAAACACCTCTCCTGAATTTGATCTTTGTAATGGAAGATGGATGTAAGAGTGCCTTTAATTGGGCCGGCAGCGACAGGCTCACACAGACATGGAAATGACATGTCTGAGTGTTGTGGGGTGGATAGTTAAAATGCAGCCTATGCAAAATGCAACGCTGAATATTTGGGTCTTTACAAACACTGCTGTGATGTGTAAGCACACTGTATAGTCTGCATGAAGGCACTGAGGGCAAGTTTACCAACTCTTCACGCTGTATTGTAAATATTATGCTCACTTTTTACCGCTATTTTATTATTGTTATCATTTGTAATTTTGCTTCAGACACAAATCAACCAAATTATGCCCAGAGTTAAAAGTACCGGATCTGCTTTGAGAGGTACCCGATCCAGAACCCAGGAGAAAAGTTGGAGTCTGGCTGAACCTGGGCTTTGTTTCTGTTCTTAGAATCACAGAATCAGAGGTTGGAAAAGACCACCGAGATCATCCAGCCCAATGATCAACCCTGCAGCACCGCTCTTGCTGTTCTCCTGCACACCCCAAGAAAGCCAAGCACCCACCACAGCTCTATCAAGTATCTCTTTGTTCTATTCCTGGGTCTCTGCACACAATATGTGAGTATTTTTAGGACAGAAGCAAGCACGTCTCTGCAAGGAAAGCAGCAATCCCTGCAGCTCCCTGCACCAGCTGTGCTTGGGCCACAGGCTTTGGGCTCAGCGATAGGAGGCAGCAGCTGCAGCAGCACCTGATCCCACTGCCCTCATCAAAGAGGCTCTTTGCCCTGCTGAAGTTCCTTCTAGTCTGCAGAAAGGGGCAGTGTGGACTCCATGGGGACGTGGGCTAGCTGGGGCTGCTCCTGGTGTGCAGATGGGCAGCATCCAGCCCCCACCCAGCGCTGAGCTCCCCAGGCCCTCGACTTATGAGTGCAAATGATTGCCAGGGAGAGGGAGTGCAGCCTAAACGTCAGAGGAGAGACTGAGCTCTGAGTGAAGGGGTCAGAGCTCTGAAGGCAAGATATCTGGTAAGTCCATTTTTCACAGCCCATTGCCTTTCCAGAACAAATTCCCTGTTTGGAGGTAGCAGCTGTTTCCTCCTGTGAGCAGAACCCTGCCATCCCCCTCGGGCACCAGCATCGCAAATATCACAGAGACCCAAACCTTGTCTCTTTCTTCATCCATAGGCAGCCCCTTTTAAAGCAAGCCAAACCTGCAGCTTCCCCTTTGTGACAGCCCCTAAATGCATTAATGATTCTGCAGATCATACCCCAGCCACACGCTGGCTGTGTACAAAACATCCTATACAAGTGGCACTACTTTATTAGGCACGATGTCCTGAGCGACTCCACGAGCAGCAGGCCCCACGTTTGCCCCCCGAGCTGTCCCAGCAGCAGGTGCTCATCCAGCAGAACCACGCAGGCTTGCAGGCTGTGCTCCTCGCTCAACGCTACTCCTTCAGCAGGCCAAGCTTCCTCAGTGCCTCACGCCGGTGCTCCTCTGTTGAACCCTTGGGGGAAATCTTCACGCTGACGCAGGAGCGGGTCGGCCGGGGGAAGCTGGGCAGCGGGCTCGATCTTCTCTTGCTGCTCTTCTCCACCTCGGTGGGCTCCTTCAGTGCAGTAAAGTCCTTCCCTGCCCCGAGGGACGCGGGCCGCGGTCTGCTGCTGCGCAGGAAGCTGGGTGCCAGCCGCTCGATGAAGGACATCTTGCCCAGCGAGCCGCTGCCCTTGACGCCCGGCTCCTTGGCCATGCAGCTGGCCAGCCCCACGCCGGAGCGCTCCAGGGTGTTGGATTTGAAGTTCATGGCCCGACCCGCCGGGGCTGTGCTCGGTGCTGCCTGGCCCTGGTTGCAGGGAGGTGGCACGGGGCCGGGCTGGGCGCAGGGCTCCTGCAGGTCCTGTGGCAGCCCCAGCTTCTCCAGGGCTTCCCGCCGGGCCTTTTCTCTCTCCTTGGGGTCGTGCTGCCCTGAATTCTGCTTTTCTGCAGCAGTGTCTCCAGCAGAGCCGGCTGGTGATGGCGGTGGTACCTTCACCTTCTGCCCGTGCTCCGCACCGAGCGGCACTGGGCTGGCTTTGCTGGTTCTCAGGATAATGTTTGGTGGCAGTTTTCGTGGTTTGGGGGCTGTGGGAGGCCCACGCTTGGTTTCGGGGTCCTGCGGGACCTCCTGTGCTGCTGGGTGCTCCGCTTGGCTCTGAGGAAGCGCTGCGCTCTCCCGGCCCATCTCTTGGTGTGGCAGTGATGTGGGATCAGGGTCAGCAGCCATTCCCAGGGCTGGACGGGGCCGTGTCCAACTCTCCTCTGCGTTGTCTTTTCCGGCATCTGAGCCATTGCTTCGTGACTGCTCTGTATGGCTCTCCTGGTTGTCCTGGAAGGGAGCTGGAGGTGGGATGATCAGGGATCTCACCTCTCTTCTCACGTTACCTTGGCCAAGCCTGCCCTCCTTGCCCATCTCCTGTGGAGATTTACCCAGTGGCGCCGGGTCCTGCATGGTGTGCGCATCTGTTTTGCCATCAGCTCTGTTTGCTCTTTGTGCACTCGCTGCAGTGATGTTCCTAGGAAGGCTGTGGTAGCCTGGGCTTGGTGCCATTGCTGGAGCTGAGCTTGGGAAGCTAGAGGAGCCCTCGGTGCCCTTCTGGTCGGCTGCATGCTGCTGAGCTGACCTTTCAGGAGGATCCCTCTTCTCCAAATCTAGGCAGAGAGAGATGAGAAATCATGCACTGTGCTGCACATGCACACAGGATATATTACCATTTACACAACGCTTCTTCATGTCTGGTGATGACAAGCAGAGAAGCTCTGCCTAGCAGTTCTGTTTGCCACATATCCAGCACTTGGGAGAACGCAGCTGGTGCCCTACATATCCCACCACACACAGCCTCCTCTCACCCATGGAGTGATAAAAACCATCTGGCTTTCGCTTACCAAATTAATAAAACTGGGGCAACGCTCCCTCCCTGCCTGCCAAGGAAACTCACCCCAGTGTGGAAATCCTTTGCAAATAGGGCTGGAGTCCAATTCCCAGCTTACCCTGGGGAGCAGAGTCTCTCTTCAGCCGTGCCCTGGGCAGCTGGGAGGCCTCTGCATAGTCAGTCTCATCAGTTGAAACCCCACTATCTGCTTCTGCATCCAATGAGCCAATGGTTTCTTCTAAGAACATCAAGCACTCCTTCTCTTCCACAGATAAATAGTCATAGCTGTTATCACTCTGAGAAAAGAAGGGAAAAAAAAAGTACTGATTGGAACTGCAGTGCGCTTTTATTTATCTGGGGGTGGCAGTGTTTCTCCTTGTTCTCCCACTGACATTGCAGCTTTGAAAGGGACACAGCGAGATCCTGTTTAATTTTTGTTGCATTTCAAGCATCGTGAGATACGATCACTGTGGAAGTGCCAAGTCAAAGTGCAACATGTAATACACATCATTAAAAAGCTGAAGTGCAGGAAAGGATGGAGCATGTGTCAGATCAACAACCATGGGGGAGAAATTGTTCCAGGTGGAGTTGTTTTGCAAAGAGGTGCTTTCCCAAGCCTTGCACCATGCAATACTGCAACCAGTTTGTCCATCCCTAATAAATTTTAGAGGGTTTGGTTCTGGTTTGCAGTACATCAAATGGAAAACCTGCCCAGGACTGAGCTCTGTCCTAGCACATATCAATTATGCTCCAAGTCAGACAGGATGTAATTAAGCCATCAATCTTGGAATCAGTGTTTGGAGACAAACAAGCTTTAAGGAACAGATAATGAAAAATTGCACATCTACACCCATTGTCCCAGCTCATCTCCACCTTAACTCCTAAACCCATCTCTTGTCAGCCAGGGAGGAGTACAGCTCGATGCCTTCTCCAGGTGCAGTCACCCTCGTTGGAGCCACTGTGACCCAGTTAACCTGCTGGTGCTGGGACAACCTGCCCTGCCCCTGGGCTGTGCCAAGGGCTCCCGCAGTTTGGCGTTATTCCCTGAAGAAACCAAGCAGTGAGCTTGATCGCTGCTGAGTAGGTGTGAGAGAGAGTGAGCATTTTGGGGTCAGGATCAGTGAGGTCCTTGTGCTGCCACAGCAGTTTTGAGCAGAAATCCAACCGAAATCTCATGCTGAAGGGAGTGAGCCATGTCTGGGC